CACGCACACTGATTGCCACCTCAGCTCGCAGCAGGTCAGCGGCCACCAGTGCCCTGATGGTTGCCATGCCAAGACGGTGCCATCTGGCAAGGGAGCGTGGCAGCTGAGAAATGGTGATCCCAGTATGTACTGCTGGCCCATGCAGCACTCCCAGCTGCTCCAGATGTGCTGCCCCTGCCTGCAGCTGTTGCCTGCTGCTGGTCCTGGTGAGACTAGTGCATTCCTTGCAGGTGGCTGCTGCTCCCCTTCCTTGTCATTGTGGTCCCTTGCAGCACGAATGTCCAGATAGTGCATCCAAATCCTTGAGCATCCTTTGGCATGCAGCTACTGATGACATATGATCCTAATGGTGTCAGCTTGTGGAAGACTGAAACATAGTAAGGGGCTGTTGTCTGCAAGTACTCATCGCTAGGATTTCTGCCCTCTGGTCAATCGTGTTTGCTGTTCCCATCTGCTGCTCTGCTGAAGTGCCATGGAGGTGGCTCTAAAGAGATGGGAAGCAGAGACATGCCCAGAGGCGTGCCTCAGGTCCTGACCCTTTCTGAAGATTACTTGCAGCCTGCAAAGCATTGAGGCTCTTAAGGGAAGGACCAAACCCTCTCCTTCATTCACTGCAAAAGGAGTAACTGTAAGACAATGCGTTTAGAAGAATCTCATAGATAAAATGTGCAACCCCTCCTAAGGAGGGAAGTTCACATTGCTATCTGTGGCAGAGATCTCCCCTCAGAACCTGTTATACCACTAAAAAGTATGCAAGTCAACTGGTGGAAAAACAGATTTCTTCACAGCTGGTAATTAAAAAAAGCACAGTTTCCAAGTTACGCTGTTCTGCAAAAACATCTTTTCCCCCATGGTATTTGCAGTGGTAAGAAAGATTAAGTGGAGATTAACATGCGCAAAAACACCAAGCGTACAGTTACCAAAGGAAGAGACATTAAATCATTACAAGTAGTGCTCTCTAAAAATAAATTTTAAAGAGCAGAGCTTCCAATAAGGATGATGTTCATTTTATGCCTTAAAAATAGTAAGATATGGTGGATAAGGTAGTATTCAGGCTTGACTTTGAAACTGAGCAGGACTTGGGCAGTTAACAAGAAGATTTAACAAACTCAGAGAGGTGGAAGGCTCCCAGGATTGCATGTGAAATGGTGGGTTACTGCAACAATAAAGTCTGCTTTTAATTAAACCCTGTTTTCTTCACAGAGGAGCTTCTAAAAATAGGCTGGGCTTAAGAGATTCTTCTTTATTTCAGCAAATTCAGATTGTTCTGTTTTGGTCTCTGAAATGCATGTGGCAGATTTTGGTCTCTGGTACCTGAACTCCAGCACCGCCACCAAAGGCAAGCAGTGGTTAAGCAAGGGCATTTTCACCAAGCCAAAAATTCTTGTTTTATTTGCCTCAGACCCTAGTGATGGAGCTGGGGCTGCAGGTTTTTTGGGGAAGGCATTTTCTCCTCCTTATCTTCTTCCTTCTCCTCCTGGCACTACCAAGATTCACCAGCACCTCCAGCTTCTGGGTGCTATCGCAGACCAAACAGTAAACAATAATACTGCTCTGAAATCAGAGAGAAGCAACTTGATCCATGCAAACTCAGTGTGATCACTGCTGACTATCTCAATTTGGGCCTCAGCCTACCCACCTGGCCAAGACAACACACTGCCAGGCCACCAATATGAGAAGCTGGGAGCCTTAAAACCACTTTGAACCCCTGTAGTCTCGAGATGTTTGCATGACATACTAAATGTCTTTTTCTGCAAGCCACCCAGGTAGTTGTGGAAGTCACAGGAGATGAGGGTAATGTCAAGCAAACCACACACAAGCACACACTTGTATTTCACATTTTTGCTCTCTTGCCCATCCATTGATCTTGTAAGATCCATACGGTATCTGGGTGTGAGCCAATTTCTATACTAACAACATGCCAGAGCAACATTTTAGAGACAGCTTCTTGACACTCACTGTCTACAAAATACCTTCATCATCGGTACTGTCACTGAAGAGAAGACAGTACAGCAGAAGTGTTTTGACAAGATCATAATTTCAGCATATTATTTTCCCCTTTTTCACAGAAATAGTCTCAACATACTATCTACCTCATTTCTGAGAAGTAACAGCACAGATTGTGCCCCCTGCCAGCATGTTCAGAAATACCAAAGACTTTGCATGTATGATCTGCCTTCACCAAAACCTCAGCAACCTGTAGGAAAGAAGTTTTGTTTAATTCACAGTCAAACCAAGTAGAAGTATTAGTGTGTCGTCATCCGTGTGTTCGTCCCCCCCACTATTTCTTCTCCAGATGCACTGGAAAGACATATTTTGGCATTTAGGCATGCAAAGCACCTTTTCAGCCAGCTTTGAAATGGTTCATTCCAGGGTCTTCTTGTGGATCGCTTCTTAGAAATGCGTAACTTACCCTGATTAAAATACTCTGAAGGTAAAACTATCTATGGAGAAGATTACTGGCAAGCCAAGAAACTGCATTAAGTTTATTTTCTGCCTTTGCTGCTAGCAAATTAACAAGGAAAGTGAAAGCAGTCAACAGAGTGATTAAGGACTCTAAACAGCCACCTCATTCCTCTAGTTGTATCACATCTCCTGGGGCACACGCTACAGCGCAGGTGGCTTGCTCGGTTAGTACAAAGCCTGCTATGGTGCCTACAGGTATTTTAGTTTCATTTCCTTTTTCTCCTCTCTTGGGTGCTCTCATTTGCACACTTCTATATATTTCTGCATCTTCATAAATCTTTTGTACTCCACTTTCACAGACTACTTCCCCGTGTGCTCTTAAGCTGCACAGCCTGATCTGATGGGCTCGCCTGTGCTGCCTTTCTGTTCCTCCTACCTGACCGCATTCACCCCTCCATGTGCCCTACTCCCCTGCAGACTATTGCACCACCCCAGTGCTGGGCAGAAGGAAACAGCGGGGCCACAGTTCCTGTTATCCGAGGAGCCTTCTCCTGCCATTTCTCATTTATCCCTCTGTGAAATGC